CAAAGAAACAGATTCTGGATTGTAGTTAAGATTGTCACAGATAATGCTGACAAAACAGCTTATCTGACCACTGGTGGCAAAATGCAGTAAATTGTTCAGAGGCCTGCTGAGCCAAGAGGTTACCTTGATTGAGAATGATAGACAGCATGCTGCTGGCTTGCTCAAAAAGGAGTCCTTTGAAAGCTAACAGCGAAGCTAATGTCCACTATCAGTCAGCAATTTGGTTAGATTTTATCTATCTGAATTTAAGTTTATTGACAGTTATCATAAGAGGGAAAAACCTAGTACTCAAAACCCGTTTCCTTGCTAAGAAGGAAGAGTTAGAGTGTTCTTTTTTGTTTATTTGTTAGATTTTCTTATGATTGAGTTGTTGTATGTTAATTAAGGCATAGGATTCTGGTATGTAATGAAAACTGCTCTCCCTGTCCCTACCCCAGCAAAGTATGCTATAGACATTCATCTGTTTGTTTAGCCAATATTTACCCAGAATTTTCTCTGTGCCAGGCACTTTGCCAGCAAGGTGATACAATGTTGAGGCAAAAAGAAGAGGCCCATAGCTTTCAAAATATGAGCACAGATTATTTAGGTTTGGAGGTAGAGTGACTAAATTGGAGGGCCAGGCCCTTCTTATTTTCTCTCTCTATCATTGTACAACTCCCTCTGGGCACCAAAAATGCTGTGTAGCTATGTGAACTTTGAAAGATGGAGAAAGACCTGGAACTCTGAAGGGCACCTACCAGTTAATCTGAGTTACACATGTGTGCCCTGCAGCTCTTCCTACAGTCATCTTTTCTGCTTCTTTTAACTTCATGCATCCTGGGCCCTCCCTGGTGGTGCAAGGGGTTAAGTCTCAGGACTGTGAAGCTCTCTGCAGTCACTGCAGTATGAGTTGAATCCCCAGTCAGGGAAGTGACCCACACAGCTCAGCAGACCTCTCTTGTTCACCTGCTGCTTCTCTCAGCAGTGTTCTTCATCACTCGTCCTGTCCTGTTCCCCACTCTGTCTCTGGTGAATCCTCTCATGGCTCCTGCAGTTCTGGCCTGTACTACAATTCTGTGTGCATAAATAAGTAAATCTTAACAAAAAAAAAAAAGTTCATGCATCCCTTTGAATAGTGGGGAGTAGGAGCATATGGCTACAGTACATGGACAGAGAATAGATTGCTGTTCACCCCCACTTTTGTGCTTGTAATTGGATTTTGAAAGCAGGTGGCTGACAATTATGGAAAGGAAAGTCTTTTGGAGCAATGGCAGAATTCCTGCCACGCAAATGTTCTTAAATTCAAGATCTAAATGAACAAAAACTTTGAAGGAGAATCCTGTTTTGGAAAGGCAGATGAGGTGGTATTCAATCTTTATTACTTTCCTCAACAAATCTCATTTGTTCATAAAATTCTTTTCTTAGTTTTCATGACCCTAAACATATAAATAAAACATGAAGCATATGTTCAATCATTTGGGTGCCTTGTCTACTTGATGGCAAAATTGTGGGAATGGGAAAACATTTGTCTTCTTGTTTCACATCGTCTACGTAGATAAAGTATGAAAATGGAATCATGGGGCATGGTATAAGGGATGTCAAAGATTATTTTGATTGACTCCTCATTTTGTAAAAGGATACATTTGTCCAGTATCACATTGCAAGCCTTAAAAAAAAAAGAGGGCCCGCCCTGGTGGCGCAACAAGTTAGGACATAGCGCTGCAAGCTGGCCGCAGCGCCCCCAGAGGTGACCCACATGGCGCTGCAGGACCCCCCCACCCCCCCCTCCTCAGCAGTGTACTTTGTCAGTCTGCCTGTTCTGCTCCCCATTCTGTCTCTGGTGAATCCTCTCGCTGCCCCTGAGCCTCTGGCCTGGACCCCAATTCTGTATGCATAAATAAAAAAAACTCTAAAAAATGAAATAGTTAAAAAAAAAAAAGGAAAAGAAAGAAAGCTAGGATTCAGGAATCATTTTTTCCTATTTTACTTTATGCCCCTCCAAACTATTGCTATTCATGATGGTGTGTGTATTTTTTCAGGTTTTTATTCCAGAAGTGTGGAATTACGTGCTCTCAGCTTTTAGGCTACACCCTCCAACTTCTGGGGTTTTTAGTAAGATTTTACTGAACAGAAAAACAACAACCATTTGTTTAAGAAAGGACAATTCTCTGAACAGATCAAAAGCTAGCAAGAGAGTTCTGTAGCTTTTATGTATCTCCACCTATATTAAGTTTCATAGTCCAACTGTGGACACACTTGCATTACAACTCCTATGTTTTTGTTTTTAGAGAGGAAAATAAAGGAGCAGGCTAACCCCGTCTGTGCACTGGGGTGCTCGTTGGCTTGTCTGAAGATGTGATCCCGAATGTCCTGAATGTTGTTGTCACTTGTTAGTCCCTTTTTGAAACAAATATCTCTTCCATATTCTCTCTTTTAAAAACATGCTGCCTGTGTGCAATTTAATATTTAAATAAAATTGTTTCGGGTCTTCATTGTATATGTGGGAGCATCTTCTTATGATCGCAGAGCAATCTTATAGAATGGGAGAGTGCTTCTATTTTTCTAGATGCCGATGACTTTCGTTTTCTTATGTTGTAAATTTATGATTCCTGATATGTTATTCTTTTATTCCCATGGCACCTCATGCCAGCATCACATTCCTATATTTCTTCAGAGTACTGTGAATTCCAGATTTTTTTTTAACATTTATTTATGTATCTCTAACTGGGATACAGGCCAGAGGTGCAGGGGCAGTGAGAGGATTCACCAGAGGCAGAGCCGGGAGCAGAACAGGCCAACTGATGAAGTACACTGCTGAGGGGAGCAGTGGGTGGGACAAGAGAGGTCTGCTGCACCATGTGGGTCAGCTCCCTGGCTGGGATTGAACTCGAAGGGGCTGCAGCTAGCTTGGCAATGCTGTGTTTTTTTTTTTTTTTTTTAAAGATTTATTTATTTATTCATATAGAATTGGGGTACAGGCCAGAGATGTGGAGGGTGAGAGGCTTCACCAGAGACAGAGTGGGAAGCAGAACAGGCAGATCGACAAAGTACACTGCTGAGGGGAGCAGCGGGCGGGTCAGGAGAGGTCTGCCACGCCATGTGGTCACCTCCGGGGCAGGCGGGAATCGAACTCATGCGGAAGCGGCTTAAGCTTCTTAGTGCTGTGCTTTAACCCGCTGCGCCACCAGGGAGGGCCGGCAATGCTGTGTTTTAACCCGATGTACCACCAGGGAGGGCCCAGATTCCAGATTTCTTTGTAACAAAGTAGCCCAAACCGTGGTGGCAATAAATATTCATTACTTTATTTCATTTCTGTGCATAAGAAATTTGGAGGTAGCATAGCTGGTGGTTCTGACTGAAGGTTTCTCAAGAAGTTGCAGCTCAGATGTCACTGGGGACTGCAGTCTTCTGACTGGGGTTGGTGGGGTCTGCTTCTAAGATGATCCATTCATGTGGAGAGAAGTAGTTGACAGGAATCCTCTACTCTATAAATTACTCTTTCCTCATGTCGAGACAGCTAGCTTTCTTTTTCTCTTTAGCCAAAGGACTTGACCTTTGCGTTTTGAGCTCCTTCAGAGGAGAAATCCCTACACAATGTAAATTCTCAGAGTTTCTATCAGCACATTATGTGCTTAGCCCAGATAATTTAATGATTAGGCATGGTAAAAAAGGAAAAATTATAACATTATAAAGATAAGGTTTTTATTTTAGAATTTTAATGCCAAAGTTTAATGTAGAAAGATTGCAATAGCTGAGAAATTTTTGATGATAGGAAAAGAAGCACCCTACTCAACAAAATAGATAAGAGGAACTAAAACCTTTAAGTTTGGGGTAAAATTAGAAGTTTTGGTATAATTTTAGTTGTAATGATTAGTTTTTAAAAATATGTAAATCATCTTAAAACTTGCATCATTTTAAATCTTATGTCCTAAATCTTAAATCTAATATGTGTTCAGTAAAGATTGCTAATTTGAAAACATGTTTTAGTTCTCCTAAAGATTTATTTCTTTGTGCATACAAAATTGGGGTATAGGCTAGAGGTGTAGAGGGTGAGAGGCAGATTGAGGAGCAGAACAGGCAGATGTACTGAAATACACTGCTGAGCCAGCAGCGGGAGAGATAGGAGAGGTCTGTTGTGCCATGTGGGTCACCTCCCTGGCCAGGGATCAGACTCGTGCTGTAGTGGCTGCGGATAGCTTCACAGTGCTGTGCTTTAACCTGTTGTGCCAACAGGGAGGGCCCATCTGAAAATATTTTTTTGCATGAACACTTTTGCCTTTTCTAATCCTTAAATTTTGAAAAATGAAAGCTTTGCCCATATTTTTTATAGTGTTGCAGAGAATAATCATTTGAGGGCCTCCCTGATGGCATAAGGGGTTAAGTCTCAGCTCTATGAAGCTATCAGCAATCACTACAGCATGAGTTCGATTCCTGGCCAGGGAGCTGACCCACATGGCACAGCAGACCTCTCCTGTCTTGTCCGTTGCACCCCTCAGCAGTATATTTCAGTGGATCTGCCTGTTCTGCTCCCCATTCTGTCTCTGGTGAACCCTTATACCTCTGGCCTGCACCCCAACTCTTGTATACATAAGTAAATAAATCTTAAAAAAAAACACACTTAAAAGGGCTTTTGATTATAAATAAATGCAAACTTGTCTTTTTATTTTCTTGGACTGTTGCTATTGCAGCAATCATTTGACTCCTTGATTACTAGAGGAATTTGGGGAGAATATTGAAATGTGACTTCAAGGGTAGTTTATTTCAAGGAGGTATTTAAGGACTAATGAACTTAGTACTTGAACTATGTGTACCTTTTCTAGAGAGCATCAAGTTAAATCAGCTGCAGAATTCATCAGGGAAAAATGAACTGGGTTATCCATGTCTCAGAGGTGCAAAGAAATAGAACAGCCCTCACTTGCCGTCTCTGAGCATGAAATGAAGGAGATTATTTTACTTATGGTCTAATTTAAAGCTGCATATTACAAATAGATGACAGTTTGATATGCTTTATTTTTCTGCAGGACTCAATTACTGGAATTGTCAGCTCTGCCCACTCACATGCACATTTGTCTTCCACTATGAGCAGACCAGTGGCATCACACCTGTGTCTGGCATACTGCAGCCTTCTACTTTTTCTCAACTTTGCCACACAATGTCTGGCCTTTCCTGTGATGGAAAGAAGGGAGCTAGCACATGTTCATGATGAAGAAGGGCAGTTTGAGATGATGGACACTGATGACCTAGAAAATAGCACCATTCTTTCAGAGTATACTTCCCAACCGGTGGTCTCTGAAGATCCAATGTTAGTATTAAAAGGACTCTCAGCAGTGCCATCAAATACAGTGTTTTCTGTTAACAAAGAGACCCAGCCCATGGAAACTGGGCTCATGCAGCCTAGTAGCCCTGGTGTTCACACTGCTACTGAGCCAGCAGGGGAAGAAGTGTTTGGTTCCAGCCAGCCAGAAAGAGCATCTCCTGAAAACCAACTTTCCAAGGCCATGTTAACCGTCCCTGTCACTGAAACTATTTCTCTGAATATTGATGAGAAAGAGGAACCTGTCAGTAGTACCCACCTCCAGCCAGTTGTAGAAGGGACCATGGAAACAACACAAGGTTTTCTGAAGAATGTGGATACTCAATTGTTAGCAACTAAAAGTCAGGGAGGAGTTAGCTTGGGACATTTACCTTCATCCTATGTGAATTCTCAGGAAATACTAACCACCAATCCGAGGACTGAGCAATTTGAAGCAGACACAGAATATAGGACAACTTCTCTTCCTGGTTTTGAACCCACGGTCGGCACTGAGCTTGGAAGCCTCATGCCAAGTAGAGGGATGCCTTTGCAGATGATAGCTGATAATACCCCGCCTCCTGCCACTAAGCTCTGGCTTGCAACCCCTGAGGACACCTCCCGTGCTAAGCCGGAAACTGACAGCCTGCTGGGTGCCCGTGAAGTCACAGTGAGAGTCAGCACAACTGTTCCAGCTGCCTCTGTCCTCAGTGATGAGTGGGATGATACCAAATTAGAGCATGTGAGCCAGATAAAGACCACAAAGCTTGTAGACAACACAGAGACTCAGGTGGGAATGGAAACATCTCGGACAGCACAAGTCACTGATAGCAGAATGGAGAGCAGTGAGGCTGCAGAGGGGACCCAGGGGCTGCCTCCAAGGGAAATAAGCACGGGGGCAGCCCTGCTCATCATGAGTGGGGATGAGAGAACATCTGCCTTTATCGGTCAGAGTCCCTTTACTCCCACGAGTCCGTTGGAAGACACGAAAGTTTCTGTCGTAAGTCTGTTCCAAAATACTGGAGACTTCGTGGAACCCACCAAGGAAAGCAATACCATGTTTTTCTTAGAGACCACTGTTTCCGTCTCAGAATATGAGTCAGAAGCCTATCAATCACTGGAAAATACGTTTAAAGGTAAACACAAAGAGTGAACAAGGAAGAAAAATAAGCTTTCTTTAATTTGGAATGTTTCAGTTTGGTTTTATGGTTTTTTTTTAAATGTTTTTATATCTAGAAGTAAATTATCTATGTTTTAATAAAAAATAAAGGTAAACAACTACAACATGTATCGAAATCACATCAAAATATAACCTCTGCCTACACAATCAGTGGTAGTCACCTGGGAACAGTCTCCACCACCCCCTCCCCCAACATTTGTCTTTGTTTGGAGACTTTTCTGTTGTCATAATCGACAGAGCAGAGTGGCTAGAGACCAAACATGCTACTAAATGTTCCATAATGCATAGGGTAACACTCCCACCATCATGATAAAGGGTGACACTCGCTGCCCCCACCACAAAGATTTATTGGAGCCAAAATGTCTTAGTCCTGAAGTTGAGAAACCCTGATACAGACCGATATTTTTCAAATCTTTTATTATGAAAAAGTATAGAGATACAGGAAAATGTGAATTAGCTATGCGTTTAAATGGTATAATAAACAATTTAGGAACTTATTTACACACTGTAAAAAATACATATAGCCCTGATATTTCTCACCCAGAAGGCTTTAGCAAAATATTTATCACATAGTATTAGCCGTATGACTTCTTTAATTTTGTTTTACTGAAAAGAGATTTATCTAGAAATAAGAGGGAGTGAGCCCAAGTAAATCACTGCTGGCTTGATTATGTGCTTCTTACTTCTATTAATATAGCCTATGAAGTAAAGAGGTTTGCTAATTGATTGTTATTTTGGTTTTTGAATGTGCCCTTTACTCATCCATGAATGTCTCCATTAACCACAATCTTCAAACAGGTCATATCTTTTTCTTACTAGAATATTGCACAGTGCTTGGTGTCTGTTCAGTGAATGAGTAAGTGAAGATAGAAAACCATTCAGACTGGAATTATCCAATTTGACTGTCTGCCTTGTCCCAATTAATCAAAAAGTTTTTCAGAGAGAGAGAGAGACAATCATGTCATTTCTTTTACTTTAATTATAAAAATAATGTGACAAATATATTACTGACAACAGTGGTTAGAGAATAGCCAAAAAACATACCTATTATGTTGTTTTCCTGAAGTCAACAACTCAAATGTCAATCACTTTAGAGATAGGGACTACTTAGGACATTATTTTCTTCAGGGTATGCAGTGATTTCATGGTGATTTGGATGCTGTCAACAGATGAATATCCTGAGTTATAGTTAGTTCTCTGATTCAATGTGTTCTTCAGCTGCTTTGCTGGAATATGGAGTTTTAAAAATAACTATACTAATTAATATATTACTTTTTCTTGTGTAGAAAATTTACTTTTTTTCTGTGTAGAAAGTGGGGAGAATGAGAGATGTAGAGGAAATTGGAATATTATATATAAAATTCCCACTATTATTACTAGTTCTCTCTCCTCTCTCTCATCATAATTACTTTTCAGAGCATCATGCCATTTTGCCATTGCTTGATGCTTCATACAATTGAACATAGGTACATTTATTTTTATATATTTGTTCTCAAAATTGTTCATTATGTTTCAAAAATGAGGGCAACCTGTAGCATACATACTGCTTAAAATGATACAACTGTATATTGTAATCTTTTGCTGGCAAGCAGAGCATTAACCTAGGTGGAGATATGAAAAGCACAATGACTTTTAGCTCTCAAGAAATTTACAAGCTTATTGGAGAAATATAAAAGAAAGAAAAAAATAGTAGCACAAATAGCAAATATAATGCACATTTAAGAGATTTACCCTAGTCACATTGACCTGTAATCAGGCGTATCAACCCATCAAATGTAAAAATCTCTTCAATAGCAAAGAAAGAACAGTTTAAACTGAATGGAAACTGAGAAAAGGAACTACGTATATTGATAAATATATAAGCACCATTTTAAAGCAAATAGTTTCCCAGGGAAAATATTTTTAATCAGAAATACCATGGCATTGGAAAAACTATCAGCTCCTCCTGAAATGTTATTTTTCACTGGACTTACTTATGTGCAATGTACCTAGAACTCATATTAAAAAAATGAAAAATAATAGACATTAGGAATTAAATTTTGGCTGTGGTTCAGTACTGGAAATTTTGCCCCTAAAAGGGAGCAAATATTGACTCCTAGAGTCTTTAATAACGTATTTCAGGGAACTATAATGTAAGGAAAGTAGGCCCATTAGGCTTATTTCATTCTCTTGAAGCAAACGCAGATCTACAGAGCCCATTCCAAGTTGTTCTTGAGTAAGAAGGGATTTCCTTTCTTCTTAGAATGTCACTGTCTTAGGATGTCACTGACTATACTGGTGAGCATAGTCAGTATGGTGGTGAAGAGTCTCTAAACCTGAATTATTCTTCAAAATGGGGTAATAATTGCTGATGTTTATCTCTTGCTTACCAAGGACCAGGAGTGCACTAAATGTTTTGCACATCATAGATGTCATCTTTGTAACAACTCTGTTAGACATAACTATCATTATTTCCATTTTATACCTGAGGAAACTCAAGGCCCAGAGATACTAATTTGTTCAAGCGCCCACTAGTAAGTGACAGTCAGAATTCAGATGAAGGCAAACTATTTCTGGGGACTGTGTTCTTGACCACAGTGATACATGGTTTCTATGTACTTCACGTTAGTACATGTGGGGGGATATAAGAAGAGATCTTGCTTACCATGCACTTGGTTAGCAGTGTGTATGGTACATAACAGAAACTCAGTAAACATTAGTTCTGGTTTTTATTCCATTAATTGAAGATGGTTATTTCCCTTTCAGAAATGCATATGTGAAAATTAATATATACAAATGCTTCTGATAATTTTTGAGTGTAGCTGAGTTCTGTATACTTGGCTTCTTAACAAACTGATTATGTTGACGTTCAAACATACCTAAAAGTAAGCTCCGCTATTAATCTTCTTATTTTGTATTGGATCTTATTGTACATGTTTGTAATTGCTTCTTTATTTCTGTCTTAAAATGATTCACTGCTCCTGAAAAGCATTGACACTGAAAATATTTACTGATAATTTATTTCTAAATAATTCTTTTGCCTTCCACATCCCTGAAGTAGCTATCTGCCTTCCTGCACCCCCACTCTGTATAATATAGTAACTTTTAAAGGTATAGTGATTTTGTCTATTTTCAAATGTGGTTTCCCCCCCTTTTAAGACATCATCACCCAAGAGATGACAACAGCTGTTCAAGAAGCAGAAGCCACTTTATCAGCAGTGACAGAAGAGCAGCAGGTTTATACCCTCGGGGTTACCGAAGAAAATGGCGAGACTACGGAAGGAAAGGAGCCCCCCTCCACCTCAGATGATGTTCCTGGTGTTACACAGCTGTGGAGGCAATGGGAACCTTTGGCCACTGCAGTTTCTACTACAGCCGTGCCTCTTTCTTTCCAAGTTACTCCCGCTATAGAAGGTCTGAAAGGGAGGGCACTGGCCTCAGCATTTTGGGGGTGGGTCTTTTCTGTGATTTGGTAAGAAACAGTGTGAGTGAGCCCCACAGACTCCCAAGGCACCAGGGTGTGAATGTGCACCTCTCCTGGCGCACAGCAGGGAAAGGTATGTGAGCTGTGCTTTGTGGGGATGTGGTGTGGTCCTAACTGATGAAACGTTGACTCCCAAGCACAATAAAATCTCGGGATGGTTCTTCTTTGGGGTTCTAGAAAGCCAGGCATTCTCAGAACTCACCTAGTTTGGCAACTGTAGTTGTGAAGATTCAAGGGGGTGAGGGCAGGTGAAAAGATCCAGAATCCAGTTTAAATCCCTTGCTTGTATTGAGGGTGTAGGTAAGGCTAAGCCTGAGGTTTATTCATCTTTAAATAATGCCTCCCTATCTTGTAGAATAGTTAAGTGTTTAAAATAATGTATACAAAGTGCTTTTTATATAGGAGGTTCCTCGATATTATATTTATTCCAGCTTTATTGAGATACGATTCACATATATTGTGATTTAATCTGTACAATGTGTTGGTTGGATACATTTGTTTAATACAAATGATTACCACTAAAGCATTGGCTAATACCTCCACCACTTCACAAAGTTGCTGTTTCTTTTTGGTGGTGATACCTTTGTGTGTGTGTGTGTGTGTGCATGTATTTATTTTACATCATGTCCATTTTGTACACTGATTTCTCCTTTCATGTGTAGTCCCCATAAAGTTCCCACCACCAAGTCACTGATGAACCATCATCATAGTCCCTTATGCTCTTCCCCCTAGATCCCCCCTTAAAGTCCCTCTCACTCCCTCTTCCCTGCTGAATGTCTCTGATTTATAGTTTGCCTGCTAGTTTTGTCTTTTTACCTCTGATCCTTTGTTTGGATCACCATATAATTTTTTTCTTTTTCCTTCTGATTTATTTCACTGAGCGTGATCCCTTCCAGCTCCATCCATGTTGCTGTAAATGGCATGAGTTTGTATTTTTTGATTGCTGAGTAGGATTCCATTGTGTGTATAGACCACATCTTCTCGATCCAGTCATCTGTTGTTGGGCATTTTGATTGTTTCCATATCTTTACTATTGTAAATAGTGCTGCAGTAAACATAGGAATGCAGGTTTCCTTTGGGATTAATGTTGTGCCATTTGGATAGACTACTAGGAATGGACTTGCTGGGTCACATGGTGGATACATTTTTAGTAGTTTGAGGGTCCTCCACACAGCTTTCCATAGTAGTTGGACCAGTTTGTGTTCCCATGTGATGAATTCTCCTAGCAAATTTCAAATATATAATACATTATTATTAGCTATAATCACCATAGTATACTTCAGATTCTCAACTTGTGTCCTTTGACCAGTATCTCTCATTTCTATCATCCTCCTTTCTCCCTCCCTGCAGCCCCTAGTAGACACCATGTTATTTTCAGTTTCTCTGGTTTTGGCGTTTTTAGATTCTACATAAAAGTAAGATCATACAATCTTTGTCTTTCTCTGTCTGACTTATGTCACTTAGGATAAAACCCTCAAGGTCTATCATGCTGTCACAAACAGCAGGATTTACTACTTTATGGCTGAGTCACATTCTGTTGTGTTTTTATAACACATCTTCATTATCCATCTGTTGGTGGGGACCTAGGTGGTTTCTGTGGCTTGGCTATAGTGACTAATGCTGCAGTGAACTTGGGGATACAGATGTCTCCGAGATTCTGTTTTCTTTCCCTTGGGATATAACCCAGATGTGGCATTGCTGGATCATTTGGTAGCTCTGTTGTTAACTTTTTGAGGCACTTCCGTAGTGGCTGTATCAACTTCCATTCTCACTCACAGTGTACAAGGGTTGCCTTTTCTCTGCAATCTTGCCAACACTTGATAGTTCTTGTCTCCTCCCTCCCCAAAAGTAGAGTTTTGTAAGTAACCTAATGGTGACCTCACAATTCCTATTTCATTCCCTCTTACTCTGAATGTTATTGTCATTCTGAATCTTACAGCCATCATTTCCTTGACTTCGTTTTCTTTTCACTTTAATGCATCTATATTTTCTCTTAAAAGTATACATTTAAATTTTTTAGTTGTTTTTGACTTTATAAAAAAAACAGTATCATGCTATAGATAGCCTTTCACGACTTACTTTTTTACTTTATATTCTATGGCTAAGGTTTACTATGATTATTTTGTTTGGACTGCTTTTAATATTCCATTATGAAAATAGATCACTGTTTATTCATGCGGTCTCTCCTAATGACTTGCATTTGGTGCATTGCCAGATTTGGCTATTGTGATAATGGCTGCCATGAATATTCTTTGACATGTTCTCCATTGTCGGAGTTTCCCTTGGGTATATGCCTAGGAATGGGATTGCTGGGCCTTAGAGTCTATGAATGATTAACTTTAGGAGGCAGTGCCTTACAGTTTTCCAAAGGGGTTGCAACAATTTTTATTCGTCACAGCTTCAGAACTGTGGATCCACATCCTGGGAGCATTTAAAAAGAGTTTCCCAGAAGGTTCTGGTGCAGTATGGTGAGATATTTGGAAGGCATGAAAATTGGCATTTAAAAAATTACCTTGAGAGAGACTGATGATCAGCCAGGCTTCTTAAACACTCTATTAGAGAGCTTTTAGATTTGGGAAGGCCAGGCTAAATTTGGCTGCTTTGAAAATGAGCATATTTAGACATAGATTCCTACATTTAAATAATAATGAAAGTAGTCTTTGGAGTGGAGTATATTTTAATAAATTAAAAAAAAACCAATTTTACCTTTGGTAAAAATTATATAAAATCTGCAAAAACCAGAACAGTATCTGTAGAATAAATGCAAAATTAAAAGTTAAAAGACAGATTTCTAGCTTAAGAAATGTATTTTTCTGGAAGATAAAGTATTTGTCTTGAGTAGCTAGATTGATGCAATGTGGAGGGAGGAGGCTGGTTTAAGTGCCATGCTTAATGTAGCAATGATATTGGTTTCATTAATCATTTCTGTTTAAAAAGTAAAAGCACAGGTGCACATTTACCATAATCATCATTTTGCAGTCAAGCTCTGTTTCTTGTGTTTGGCAGACCCAAAGGACACCGTCACAAGGCCAAGTGAGGAGTTCTTCACACCCATCGTAGGCCCTCCCATGACATCCCCTGGAATCACAGAGGAGACACTCAGCCTTTCCTTAGGTCCGGACTCTGAGGGGAGAACTGAAGTTCCATCCGTGAGCCATGTTATTACAGCTGCCTCATATGGTCTGGACCAACTCGAATCTGAAGGTATCTATACTATAAAGGGAATCTTTTCTAGGACTAATCAGGTCACTGAGCAAATGTATTTCAGCAAAGATGTTGAGAGGTGTACGCAGTATGCATGATATGCCAGAGATCAGGCACTAGGATGAGACCAGTTGGCTTCCCACCTGATTTGTATGACCTGCAGTCTGTTATCAGAATGGTCTCTGCACATTTGGTGACATGTAGAAGTTACATTCTATTCAGATGTCAGTAACGCTGTATTAGGCACAGACACACTTGCTTGTTGAGGTATTGTCTGTGGCTGCTTTTGTGCCACAGCAGCAGAGTTGAGTGGATATGACAGACTAACTGCCCACAAACTCTAAAACATTGCAATCTGGACCATAGCCAAAAAAGCTTGTTGACCCCTGGTCTCCATCAATGGTTCCCTACTACAGTTGAACATTAGAATCACCTTAGGGAGCTTTTAAAAAACCCTAGTGCCTAAGTCCTCCCAGCAGTGCACAGTTGGTGTGGGGTGGGAGCCGCTGACAGCATTTTGAGAGACAGCTTTGATGATTTCACTGTGCAGATTGGGTTGAAAATACCAGCTCAAACAGAAAACTTGATTTTCCTCACTTTATTTTCTTGGGCGGAAGTTTTAACATGCATTGTGTTTTTATAACATCACTCTGGTTGGTAATGCTGACTGATACCCTGTTAGCAACATCCCTGGGTTAGAATGTTCCACTAATTGGAGAGAGGCAGTCTCCTAATCTATTAAGACTGAGAAACTCATGTTAAGTTATACTTTCCAAGACAATGACTTTTTTTTTTTAAGATTTACTTATTTATGCATACAAGAACCCAGGTATAGGCCAGAGGTGTGGGGAGTGAGAGGGTTCACCAGAGACAGAGTGGGAGGTAGAACAGGCAGATCAATTGAAATACCCTGCTGAAGGGGGCAGCCTGTGAGACTGGAGAGGTCTGCTGTGCCAGATGGGTAGCTCCCTGGTGGGGGATGAAACTTGTGCTGCAGTGGCTGTGAATAGCTTCACAGTGCTGCGCTTTAACTCCTTACACCACCAGGGAGGCCCCCCCAACCCCTCTTTACACCCTCCCCCCCAGCCCCAAGACATTGACTTTGAACATGACAAAGATGTGTGAGACGGCTACATATCCACAAGCAACAAGACTAGAAATAGGGCAAAATGTCATTTAATATTCAGCATTTCAGCAGGTGACTAACTCCTGTCTGGCGGTGAGAAATATCCAGAGAATTGTAGTTTAGTTTCATAAAGTAATTTGGAAGACAGGTAAGCTTTGGGGCTATATTAAACTTGTGTTTGATGTAGTATCCATATAGGATGTGTTTCATATTTTGTTGTTATTTCATATTCTGTCTACTCTAAAACAGTTAAGCCAGGTTTGCATTATTGTAGATTTCCAGGGCAACTAGTAGTTTTCTGACAGAGAAATATGACACTGTAGGAACAGTGTGGAGAATCCCACAGTACAGATGTGGTTTAAGTAGATTGATGGAACTCAGTACTCTTGTACTCCATATTCAGAAAAAAAGTACGGCTTTGACTTTTGTGTCTTGTATTAGCTGTGTGCTTTCCTTGATGCCATCTGGAAAAAGCAGGTTTCCTTAAATTAACCTGAGTTTGAGATGACAGCTTTACCCAGCAGGGCTCATTAAATCAGAAGAAAAAAAATATATTTGGGTATAATCTATACTTGTGAAACTGCAATAATTTTCTAAATTTAGTAGATGGTGGCAGTTGTATTGAAAAATGTGAGAATTTTCCTTACTTACCTAAGATGTTGTGGAGTCTCAATTCTTTTCTTCTATACAATTCAATTCTAGCTTGTTTTGAGACTATATTTTGTCTGTTTTTGAACTAAAGTATGATCTTTGTCAATGCTGATGAAAGATATTTTTAATTAAAAAGTATTTTTTTTTTTCCTGTTAGCTGTTGGGCTTAAGACAAGATCTGAGTGAGCCACCTTTTCTCCTAAATACTAGGGATTGCACTTTGTGTATAATTGGAATGTTATTAAGATCACAATTAGAATTATGCTGGTGTCTCTGGTTCTCTGAAAGCTGAAACAACTACACACTGATTTAAACAGACAAACCTTGCCCAGAGATATACATGCCGCTTTGGAGGAGGTATGTTACTTCTAGTTTAGGATTACATGCAGAGGAAGATAACTTATTTTTACTTAGGGCCATAGGTTATGCTAACATCAAGGTGTCTGTGTACCTTTTGGATTTTTTTTTTAAAGATTTATTTATTTGTGCATACAGAACTGAGGGTGCAGGCCAGAGGCTCAGGGGCAGTGAGAGGCTTCACCAGAGACAGAGTGGGGAACAGAACAGGCAGATAGACGAAGTACACTGCTGAGCGAAGCAGCGGGCAGGTCAGAGAGGTCTGCCGCGCCATGTGGTCACCTCTGGGGCAGGTGGGAATCGAACTCATGCGGAAGCGGCTTTAGATTATCAGTGCTGTGCTTTAACCCACTGCGCCACCAGGGAGGGCCACCTTTTGGATTTTAATCTTAGTGACATACAGTTCTGAACTAAAGCATGTGTTTATAAAATTAAATTATTATTCCTTTTAGTTATTTTAGTATCTTCCTTCCCATTTGAGAGCACTTCTCATAGTGGTCTTTTCCCCAGTGGATATGGTTAATACCTGTTCTTATTAAAGAGCAGAAGCCTGAAGAGAGAAGACCTCTGTGGAAATTTCTGAATATCTTTCCATTAAAGGGTGACTAATAGCCCAAGTTCACCTGAAAATAGCACCTATGGGGTACCCTGTCTTCCCTCCATTACATTTCTATGACCTCATGACTAAGGGGCATGTATTAATTATCTAGAGTTACCACAAGAAAGTACCACAAACTGGGTAGTAATTCTGCCCCTTGCAGTCATTCTTTTGCAGATCAACCCCATGCTCCTTCTGAAGCCTCTAGGGGAGGGCTGTCCCTTGTCCCTCCATCTTCTGGTCATCTCAGACATTCCTTGGCTGCATCACTCCAATCTCTGCCTCTACCTTTACTTGGGCTTCTTTTCTCTCCATTCCCAAATTTCTCTCATCTTATACTGACACCAGCCATTGACCTAGTGCCCAATACTTTTATCTTGATTTATTGCACTTACCAAGACCTTATTTCCAAATTAGGTCACATTCACAAGTACTATGGATTAGGATATGAACGTATCTTTTGGGGGGACAAAATTAAACATGGAACAGGGGTCTGCTTCTAAGGAGTTTACTGTGTTATTTTACATAAACATATCTATCTATTTATAAGTTTCATGTGTTATAAGCATATGTAAAATATGCAGCAGACATGCTCTATTTCTGGAACACTCAGCTGAGAGATGTGCATTGGTAGAGTGGGAGAAGTTTTGGCGTATTTTACATTTTTCACTCACTGAAAAAAAATCCTCCTTCCAGAACCTTGTGCATTTCAGTAAAATACAGTTTGATTTTTGATTTTTGAAGAGATAATGGCTTATCTGTCACCTTGTTGGATACATTTGACTTCTCGCTCACTCATTTTTTGGGAATAAATGTTTCCAGGTTGATAAAAAAATGTGTTACTGCAGGTATAACTCTACTAGGCTTGTATTCAGTGTCTTTGAAATGTCAACATCACAAAAGTGTTTTGCTTTTTTTTCAAGATAGGAAAATGGCAAATTATACATTGCATTATATATATATATATTTTAAAGTTGCTACTTTGGAGCAGGGAAATCTTTCTCTGTTCCAAAATTGTAACTTAGATTTTCTAAATACTTATGAAAGCATACTTGGAATCTTAAAATTTGGGTTAACTGTCTTTAGAATATTTTAATACTAATATAGCAAGTGGAATGAGACTTTCCAAATTTCTCAAAGAATTTTTCCTTTCTGCTTTTTAGAAACCCAACTGAGGATGTCTACTTATTTAAAATAAATCAGCCTTGTATATTCCCATAGAAGATGAAAATTCATCTGTGCTGTGAAATTCTATCAGTAATTCTGTAGCGTTGAAGGTTAACAGTTTGATAATCAGAAAACAATTTTTGTTGATCCTTCTATGCAAGGTATAAGTTTCCAAAAATAGATGAGAGATGAGAATACAAAACAGAGAGTTTCCAGATCTTGTGATTAATGCTTTCTCACATGCCCAGCTATCTTCCCTTAGTGCTTGGAATTCAGTGTCTGGCCTTGCAGGGAGTGGAAAATAGGAAGTCACATGGTGCTCACCATGGTGCTGACCACACAGATATGGGGGACAAGGTGCATTGGGTGGGACTCTCCCAAAATGACTCTGGGTCTGTTACTGTTCTTCTTCAAGAGAAGAAATACCAGTGTCCCTGCTCTTGAAAAGTTGAATTCTTGGTTTGACTGGTCCTATTTAATGCCTTGCTCTACGCATAACAGACTGAGTGTTGGGCTGTATAAGTCAGTGCCAACATCCAGATATTTCCTTATCTGTTTCAGAAGGCCCATTTGTTACAGGCTTTATTGAACAACTCATAATAATTAGCTTACTAAAGCATTAAGGTTTTCAAATATATAACATATTACCATTAAAAAATATATAAAGAGCTTTTTACTTGCTTGTGTCCAACAGACAAGTTTGATTTAAAAAAAAGACGAAATATATCATTTCACTTAACTTTTTTCTTTTCCAACAGTTTTTTCCAAGACCATTTTGGCTACCCTTATATTTAAGTTTTAAAAGATTGTGTTTTTGACATCTTTTCTCAGTCAGGCAGCAGACACAGGGCAGAAAGCTGTCATTAGTCTGTCATTTGTTGCTTTATCTATTTCAGTGACATCCGTTTTCTTGCATTTTTGAGTGGTGCATATCTCTCTCTGTGTGAGTGTGTATGTGCATCTGAGTATAAGTGTTTATATGCATACATCTCTGTGTTTGAGCCTCTGTGCATGTGTATTTAATTTTAGAGGTATTTTCCATAGTCCTCTTAAAATACTTCTAATACTACCAATACTTAGAATATTGGTAATACCAATATA